TCACTGCAGTACAGGAGTGTGCTCAGGACACAGGCTCTGTAGACTTCTATCTTGGTATATGCCATCAGCTTCTTATTAAGCCATACTCTCTTTGTGAGTCTAGAGAAGGTGGTAGCTCCTTTGCCAATGCGTTTATCCAGCTCAACATCTAGGGAGAGAGTGTCAGAGATCGTTGAGCCCAGGTACACAAAGTCATGAACAACCTCCAATTTTTGCTTGGAGATGGTAATAGAAGGAGTTCACGCCTTGGCCCATAACTTGTGTTTTCTTCAGGCTGATTGTTAATCCAAAGTCTTGGCAGGCCTTTCTAAAGTGATTCATGAGTTGTTGGAGGTCTTCAGCAGAGTGGGCAACAATGGCTGCATCATCAGCGAAGAGGAAGTCCCGCATGCATTTCAGCTAGACTTTCGTCTTCGCTTTCAATGTAGAGAGATTAAAGAGCTTTACATCTGATCTAGTGCGGAGATAGACACCTTCTGTTGCAGTTCCAAAGGCATGCTTCAGCATGACAGCAAAAAAGCTCCCAAACTGGGTCAGCACGAGGACAGTCCTGTTTCACTCCGCTTCAGATGTCAAAGGGATCTGATGTTGAGCCATGAAAAACTACTGTGCCCTTCATTTCCTCATGAAAGGACCTGATGATGTTAAGAAGTCGAGATGGACATTCATACTTGGGAAGTATTTTAAAAAGGCCATCCCTGCTAACCAAATCAAAGGCCTTTGTAAGATCTGTGAAGGCTACAAAGAGTGGCTGTTGTTCCCTACATTTCTCCTGCAGCTGTCTGAGGGAGAATACCATGTCAGTGGTGGATCTATTAGCTCGAAATCCACACTGTGATTCTGGATAGACTCTGTCTGCAAGCACCTGTAGCCTCTTCAGTACAACATGGGAAAGCAGCTTCCCTACAATGCTGAGAAGAGAGATGCCATGGTAGTTATTGCAGTCGCCCCTGTTTCCTTTGTTCTTATATAGTGTGACGATGTTTGCATCCTTCATGTCCTGTGGTACGCCACCTTCCCTCCAGCAAAGACAAAATATTTCATACAGCTAGGTGCCTTGCCTGAGGTGAGGAAATCCAAGGCCACTTTTATTTCTGCTAAAGTTGGTTCGCTGTCCAACTCTTCCAAGACAGGCAGGCACTTGATGTTATTTAGTGCCTCTCCAGTTACTACATTCTCTCTGGAATATAGCTCAGAGTAATGCTGCACCCAGCATTCCATCTGCTGTGCTCAGTCCTGGATGATCATTCCTGTAGCAGACTTCAAGGGAGCAGATTTTTTCTGTATTGGACCTAAAGCCTGCTTGATACCTTCATACATTCCTTTGATGTTACCTGTTTCTGCTGCTATCTGTATCTGAGAGCAGAGCTGAAGCCAATCATCGTTGGAACATCTCCTGGCAGCCTGTTGGACTTTGCTATGAGCAACTTGAAGAGCCGGCAAGTTGTACTCACTAGGCTGGCACAAACTCCTCCGAATGGGCTTCGAACCAGTCTGCCATCTTCTTGCCAAATGTGGACAAGGTGGTGTTATAAACAGTATTCTTGAAATGTTCCCATCATTCAGGTGCATTTGCATGAGCCGGGCCTGGAAGGGTTTCCTCAAACGCTTGGGCAAATTTCTCCACTTTTCTTTCATCACGAGTCTTGCAGATGTCAATACATGGTCTTCCTTCCTTTTCCATGTGGTACAATCTCTTTGCTCGCAGTTTCACTCTACTACACACCAGGGAGTGATCAGTATTGCAGTCAGCACTCTAGTAGCTGTGTGTGATCGTAATACTAGGAAGGACAGAACATCTAGTGAGGATCAAATCGAGCTGATGCCAATGCTTGGATGTCTCCAGGAAACTCTGTGTTGAAGCTTTGTATTAAAGAACATGTTGCTGACACAAAGACCATAATAACAGCAAACTCCAGCGAATGTTAGCCATTTTCATTCATCTTCCCAATTCCAAAATCCAAGAATTGTGATCAGCACCAACTCTAGCAATAAGGTCTCCAAGAATGAACAGCAGTTCTCTCTTGGGGATTTTTTGATAGTAGCTGCCAGATTGTTGTAGAATTTGTCTTTGACTTTTGTAGTAAATGACGGTGTTGGTGCACATGCACTAATGAGGGTGACTGGTCCGCTGATGAATGGAGCTGCAGAGACAGGATTCTTTCACTCCGCACAGTAGGTGGAATAGCGGATCTCAGCACAGTATTTCTGACCGAAAGCCAACACCATGTTCCCTGGTCTCATTCAATGGTTTTCCCTGCAAGAGGAATGATAATTTTTTTTCCTTTGACATATCCCATGTCTGGCAATCTCATCTCTTGCAGGGCAACAATGTCCATCTACAGTTTGCTCAGTTCCATGTCGATGACAGCTGTCTTGCGCATGTCGTCTATTTCCTGTAGGTTGGCAGAAAAGCCAGGAGTCATTGTCCGAACATTCAAGATGCCCAACTTTGGGGCAGAAGTTTTCTTATGATTGTTGCATGGTGCATGGTTATCAATCTGCTTGTTGGCTTTCACCCTAAACCCCATGCACCCTGTGAGGTTAACAGACCGTGGCGAGATTTTGCCTCAGGGTTAACTCCTGGATCCTTTTCTATCAGTGGATATAGCTGCAAGGCAGTGGAAGTTTGAAATCAGTTTTCCTTCTAGAAAAGCTGCCTTCCAAGTCTGATGAGCCGCACATACCTGGCCTGCTCCATAAGAGTGCGGAGATTAGAACACAGGTCTCCAGCTGCCAGACTTTGTCTTCCAAGAGGACCACCAACTAACACTTAGAGCATTTCTACCCAGGCACCTCATTGGCAAGAAAACAAACATACCACAGGTGTTACAAGTGTGACAGATCCTGCACTCTCCATCTCGACTGATTGATCAGTGAATTTAAAAAGGGAGGAAGTCTGATCCTACCCCTAAAACTTTCCTGCCCCCCAGGTGTATGCAGTACTCTTTGGCTTTCCTATTTACCAGATTAGAGTCAAAAATAGAATCAGATAATGTCCTCCCAAACACAGCTCATCTCCTGCTTCAGCTCCTCTTCAGGAAAAAGGCTTAGAGCTTCTCTCAGCTCCTCTTTAGGAAAAAGGCTTAGAGCTTCTGCCAGCCTACATTTAAAGCCAGAACCCCGCCCCTCAGACCACGTGGTCAGGGAGAACAAAGCTCAGCCTAGAAGAAAAAACCTCACCAAATAAAATGTCCTCCCAAACACAGCTCACCTGCTCACCTCCTCTTCAGGAAAAGGCCTACTAAAGTAATCATATGCCATATCCCTTGTTTCGGTTTCATCTACACTGCATTCCATAAGTTAACCACCTCTTTTTGTTACAGTATTTATGTGGGTAGCTTCTATTTCTCATGCTTCAAGCTTTTAGTGCTTGTTAGCTGTCTTAGTCCCTTTCATTGTTTGCTTCATCCCACGTAGCATCTTCATATAGTTCCACCTCCCAGGTTTGCAGTGATCCCTGTCTCCCTTTCTGCAGCAGGTTGTGTCTAGGACAGGGGTCTCAAACATTCGGCCCGGGGGTCATCACCCCAGATGATAGTTTGTGGCCCTCGCCTTGCCTGCCCCCCCAAAGCGCCCACACATCCTCTGCTGTCAAGAGTTTTAAAAAAGCCTTGCCTCACTCGCCGGCTCTCTCCCAAGACAGCACCTCTTGCACCCTCCATCCAGAACTGCAGCCTGCCAGCCAGACCACCTGTCTGCCGGCTAAGCAAACTCCTGGGTGGCTTCCTCGGGCTCTTGCTCCACTTGGCAGAATATCTGATGCGGCCCAACCTCACCCAGCCTCTGCCTCCAGCGGCCCCCGGGTAAATTGAGTTTAAAACCCCTGGTCTAGGAGAATAGGAATCTCTTTTGTTTTTTTTTGTTTCATTTCACTTTATTGGAAGTTATGGCACTTACATGTAAGAACTGTTTTCCAAGGGTATGCAGTCCTCCTCCTTCTTCACAACCCCACTATAGGCTTTTTCTACTTAAGTATGTGGTAGACCTCTTAAAATTTCAATGTAATGCCATTATTAATTCTGCTACATTAAAACTTTTTGGTTTCCTGTAGATCTGAAATTATTCTCACAGTTGCCTCAGTTTGTGATTTTTCTGTGCAAAAGCCCTTATAAATAACTATTCTCCCACCCCCTTTTCCTAGGGTAAGAGGACAAACCTACGCAAAATTGGCTCAGACAGGATCGCCCATGGAATGAGAGTGAAATTCAACCCTCTTGCTTTGCTTCTAGATTCTTCTCTTGAAGGAGAATTTGACCTTGTACAGCGAATCATATACGAGGTATAATTCCTTGTTCCCTTTGTTGAGAAATGAAGCGTGAACTTGGGGCTTAGTGAATTTTTGGTTGGAGTCTTAGTCAGGGATGGTACATGAGAGTTCTACTTTTTGAGCTCTTCCAGATGGTAGTACAATATAGGTTTGCTGAGAAAATAAAATGGGAAATAAAAAAGGCACTTATGACTACATTGATGAAGGAATCCTGTCCTTTTTTCTTCTTACTCTATAGGTTGAGGATCCCAGCATGCCCAATGATGAGGGCATCACTGCACTTCACAATGCTGTGTGTGCTGGTCACACAGAGATTGTAAAATTCCTGGTCCAATTTGGTGTAAATGTGAATGCTGCTGATAGTGATGGATGGTAAGGATGATTGTTGTCTTCCTGAACAAGTGTATCTGAATTAACTACCAATCTCCTGGGTCATGTACCAATCTGGCATTCAGGTTTAATAAATATAATAATATCAGCTAAATGGAATAATCGCATGTCCTTTGCTGTTTCTCTGCCTGAGAAGAAAACCACCTTTATGATATTTTTATTTCTTGGAGGTTAGAGTTGCTGCTGCCATTTGAATAGAACAATTTAAAAAGCTCTGAAATGAATTTCTAGAGCAGAGTTGCTTCTTCAGTATGAAACAGAATAGTTCACTTTAAAGGTATCTGACCACATAAAGAGTGTTAGTAATCATTGCAATACATGGCTTGGCATATAGATAGCAAAATGTGGATTTTTGAGTTAGATACTGTAGCATGGAATGAAAGTGGGTGCCCATTCTGATAATTATATCTGTTCTTACTGTGGAGAATAACTGTAGGGAAGTCTAGCAGTTAGTATTAAAATGACTTGAGAACTCATGCCACCCAGATCTGTTTTTCACATTTTATTAGTTTTCTTCCCAAAAGTCAGGATATGAGTAAAGAATTTTCTGCCACTTTTTTTCTTCTTCTTTGCAATTTTAGGACGCCACTGCACTGTGCAGCATCCTGCAATAATGTTCAAGTATGCAAATTCCTCGTGGAATCAGGTGCCGCTGTATTTGCCACAACCTACAGTGACATGCAGACTGCAGCAGACAAATGTGAAGAAATGGAAGAAGGCTACACACAGTGTTCCCAGTTTCTCTATGGTACGTGCCAAAAAACCGGTGGTTCCCAACCTTGGATCCCCAAGTGTTATTGGGCTACAACACCTAGAAATTCTGGCTAGCACAGCTAGCGGTGAAGGCTTCTGGATGTTTTAGTTGAAGGACACCTGGGGACCCAAGGTTGGGAAACACTGATTTAGACTAACAGTTACACTGAAGGGCTTTATGTGTTTTTGTCCTGCCTGTGTTTAGAAACTCTGGAATAAAGACCATCTCCTTTCAGTCTTCATTACATGGCAAGATGAACCATGCAAAATCTGATCTCTTGCGATTACTAAATTTATTTGTACCCCAGTAAAAACTAGTGAAAACATTATTTGTCTTTTCCTATTTTCTGTTGGCAACAATTCTTACTCCTTCCCCCCCCCCATGATTTTTTACCTCTTACAGATCGAAAACATTGTCTTTTCCTATTTTCTGTTTCCTTTCCCGTCCCCCCATGATTTTTTACCTCTTACAGATCCAGGTCCACATCTGTTGAATAAGGCTCATTGACCTTGGTGTTGCACTTGTGTATCTCCAGTAAAAAATAATATTCCTCTGAAATCTCTCTTGTTTTTGTGTATTTTCCTCTCAGGGATAAAGCTTGAATTTTGACAGCAGTCTTTTCCTATTTTCTGTTTCCTTTCCCGTCCCCCCATGATTTTTTACCTCTTACAGATCCAGGTCCACATCTGTTGAATAAGGCTCATTGACCTTGGTGTTGCACTTGTGTATCTCCAGTAAAAAATAATATTCCTCTGAAATCTCTCTTGTTTTTGTGTATTTTCCTCTCAGGGATAAAGCTTGAATTTTGACAGCAAAAGTGCAATGGTGTATCTATGGGTGTCCAGAGTATATATTCATGTCTTGAATTCAGATAGTAAAATTAAAGGAAGGAGTCTTTCCAATGGAGCTTAAAGTCTATTTACGCATTTACTAAATATAAAAAAGTACAGTGGTGCCTCACATTACGACATTAATTCGTTCCAGCGAAATCGCTGTAGAACGAAAATGTTGTAATGCGAAAAGAAAAAACCCACTGAAACGCATTAAAACCCGTTTAATGCGTTCCAAAGGGCTTGAAGCTCACCGTCCAGCAAAGATCCTCCATAGGGCGGCCATTTTCGGTGCCTGTAATGCGAGGAATCCGTCCCAGAAAACAGCGGGGGGCCATTTTGTTTACCCAGCGGCCATTTTGAAACTGCCGATCAGCTGTTGGAAAATCATCGTTTTGCAAAGAATCGGTTCCTGAAGCAGGGAACCGATCATCGCAAAGCGAAATTCCCCCATAGCAAACATCGTTTTGCGATGGCAAAAACTTCGTCATAATGCAATTTCGTCGTTAAACGGGGCAATTGTAAAGCGAAGCACCACTGTACAGTATCTTTTTATTCTAGATTGAGGTAGGAGCATATATATTTAATAATTGAATATCTCAAGCACCCATCTCACAAATTAATTGAAGAGACCACTTTGTATTACTACTTAGCAGATTGAAGTTAAAAGCCTTTTAACTTGTCACTTTTCTCAATCATAAGTCCTCTCTAGTTAAAAATAAAATGCCCTTATTGTATTTTACCCTTTGCTTTTTCTCACCCCAAAATACTTATTAACTATATTAGAAGAGCAGAGCATGGTATGTATATTTTGAAGGTGAATATTTTATTTCTTGGTCAGATGAACATTTTCACTCAGAAAGTTAAGTATTCCAAGTGACTTTTATTCATCTTATTCATCTTATTCATCTTATTCATCTTATTTATTTATTTATTTATTTATTTATTTATTTGTTTATTTATATCCCGCCCATCTCGTCTAGTCGACCACTCTGGGCGGCTTCCAAAAAGGTATATACAATAAACATAAATCCAAATACATACAATAATAAAACGAATATTGAATGAGAGAAAAAATAAAGAAAGAAAGAATTAGCTATTGACAAGAGGGAAGGCATCTTTTAGATCACCAGTCAGATGATACGCTGAAAATGTAACAGATCTTATCTGTTTGGTATGCAAGTGATGAATTGATTGTTGACTTGTTCACAGGAAATAAGTGTTTGTGTTATCCAAGATATAGAATCCATTCCCTCTCTTTTACTGTGTGATGGAGGTAAACCAGTGCAAGTTCAGGCCCTACAAATGATATTGAGAATTTATTAATATATGCTTTAATTAGATGACAGTGATAATTGGCACAAAGAAAAATGACTTATCTCTGTTCAGTTCATCACAACATATTATTTTTTTGCCTTGGACAAAATGCAACTTCATTACTGGTTAGATCTAATAGTATTGCAATTGCATATGTATGTTCCTTTCAGAAAATATTCCTACGTACTTTTCAGTTAGATATGATTATCACACTTTTGAGTTAACTGCTAGTTTATTTTATAGTAAATTATTTTTTCAAACAGTTTGGCATTCCTGTGGACACTCTCTCGCAAAAAAAAGCAACCCTAACAAATTCTTACATTTGCTGTAATCTTTCTTGTGACTCATCTCTGTTTTCAACTCTTAATTTTTATGCTACTTCATGAGAAAAACTGGTTTCCTTATTAGATGTTGTATATGGGTATGTTGTGAAGTTAACTTAAATGCCTAGTTTTGCACCTCTGTTGTAGGAGTGCAAGAGAAAATGGGAATAATGAACAAAGGAGTGGTCTATGCACTCTGGGATTATGAAGCCCAGAATGATGATGAACTGTCCATGAAAACAGGAGATTGCATGACAGTACTGCGCCGGGAAGATGAAGAAGAAATTGAGTGGTGGTGGGCACAACTAAATGAGAAGGAAGGATATGTGGCACGTAACTTACTTGGCGTAAGTAGAAGTATTTACTCTTTCTCTTGAGGTCATTGGAGAATATTTGCAGCTGGGGAGTATTTACATAGAACATGGGATTGGATTTGGTTGAATTATAAAAATTGTTTCTTATTTGTCAGTATTTGTTTTGTCGTTGTGTTTTCTTCAAGTGTTCGTTAATAATTTTTGGAAAACATAAAAGTTCACTAACAAGAGGAGACAGTACATACAGCAGGAGAAGTATGTTTATGATTCCTTTTCTACAGGGCTCTGTCCACTGTCCTGTTTCCCTGAAAATAAGACCTAACCTGAAAATAATCCCTAGTATGATTTTTCAGGATGCTCGTTATATAAGCGCTACCCCCAAAATAAGCCCTAGTTAAGTGAAACCCCACCCTCCACCATTGTGCAGCAACCAGAAGAAGATGACATGATTGTATTTGAATAAACATAGATAGTTATAAATGAAAACAAATCCCCTGAAAATAAGCCCTAATGCATTTTTGGAGCAAAAATTAATATAATACCCTATCTTATTTTTGGGGAAACATGGTGTATCTCTTTACCTCTTCTGTTAGTATCATATTGGGTCTTCATATTACAATAAAATGGTAGCAGATGGACTTTGGCATCATTTTCTTTATAATTCATCTCTTTCCTAATCTCTTTATACATGTCTAGCATATCTGGCCCAGCAGATAATCCTCCAGTGCTGCCAGAGTCTTGGTTTCAGATGATTAATATTTGATGCCTAGCATCTTCAAACAGATAATCCATGTACTCACAAACATGAACATTTTTTAAAAGCCTGCTTTGAAGACTTTGAAACCTAGGTCTTTCAAAATAAAGTTTATAAATGGAATCTCTTCCCTTTGTCAGAAATATTGGTGCCTGCTGGTTTTATCTGTGCTGAAAAAAATATTTTTCACCAGATGAAAAAGACTCCTTTTTCTTTGCTTCATGCAGTGTTTTTCAGTCTTGTATAAAGAATTGGACTTTTTGTTTTAAGGTCATTCTAACATTTCTGTAGTTTTTTCTTGTTAAGCTTCTTATGTCATTACTCATATTGCTCTACTTACACATAAGCCCTTTCTTTGAATAGGCATCAGACAGTTGTTTGCCACTGTAAGTGTTAGCTGTAACATCAGGATTTGCAAAGTATACTGTAGTCCTACTTCTCTGTTTAACATAAGGTTAGGATAGCAAACACTCTATGAAGAAGCAGCACAACAAATGGTAGCAGTTGTGGAGGCTGAAGACTATCTAGAATAGAGCATAAAAGCATGGCAACTTTTATGAAATTTAAAATTGCCCGTGTCAATTTCAACATGCCCCCATACAACTGTGGTTGGCAACTGTCTGAAGAGGGGGAACTGCTGTATTTATGTTGCCTTTTCATGTGAGCCAGAATCTCAGACCTGGAGGTGGAAGAGTGGCTTATATGGGAGAAGCAACCCTGGGCTACCCATCTTCATATTTCTATGTTGACTTTTGTGACAGAAAGCATGCTGCTCTCAACATCTGTAGATTCCATGTACTTCATTAATGACACTGTTTGTAGACTTGGAAGTGCCATTTCATGAACAGAATGCCAAAAGAAGATACAATGTATTTATTGCTTTTCTTGTCTGTTTCCTCTGTTCACAAGATGTTGAGGACTCTTTAAGTGAATTAATTCAGTTATAATCATCTGCATTTCCCGTTGTGGCAACCCCAGACCTACTGGAGTATCCCACCCTGTAGTTATGCTGCCACCAACCATTCCCTATAAGGAGTCACACAGACTAGGAATGGATTTTAACAAATAAAAGAACAAGGTTTATTGAAACAACAAACAGGGTAAATAAAAGAATCAGGTAAATAGGAAACTGGAACTTGGTATAGTCCCAATCATACACATACAACAGATTGGTTCGTTCAGTTATAATCATCTGCATTTCCCGTATATAACACTCAGTTCATAGAAGACAAAACTTCCTTTAAGCAAAATTTGGAAGAAGGAAAGACTATGCGACTCCTCTCGCCTCTTCTCTTTCTTACCTCTGTTTCTTCAACAGATCCTACTCACCTTGAGTTCATTATTTTAATCTACCCCTTTTCTGTTCTTTTCTAGCTCTACCCACGGATTAAGCCAAGGCAGAGAAGTTTGGCGTAAAGGCATTTGGAAGCAATTTGCTGAACTACCAACTGCAGAATGGTTTCATCCTTTTTAAGAGAAGAATGCATTCTTTTTGTGTTGGCATCAGTTTTGTTAGACTCACTTTGATTACAATGTGATATGAAAGCTACATTGAAAATGAGCTCTCAAATATATATACAGTACAGCTCCTCCCCCCTGATGTCCCACCTTCCACTCCCCATAGGATGGAACTTTCCCTCCAAACCCATGACAGACAGGTACCATCAGTGCTGTATGTGACACCCGTATATAAAACTCAGTTCATAGAAGACAAAACTTCCTTCAAGCAAAATTTGGAAGAAGGAAAGACTGTGTGACTCCTCTCGCCTCTTCTCTTTCTTACCTCTGTTTCTTCAACAGATCCTACTCACCTTGAGTTCATTATTTTAATCTACCCCTTTTCTGTTCTTTTCTAGCTCTACCCACGGATTAAGCCAAGGCAGAGAAGTTTGGCGTAAAGGCATTTGGAAGCAATTTGCTGAACTACCAACTGCAGAATGGTTTCATCCTTTTTAAGAGAAGAATGCATTCTTTTTGTGTTGGCATCAGTTTTGTTAGACTCACTTTGATTACAATGTGATATGAAAGCTACATTGAAAATGCTTTGAAAACAGATGAAGGATAGATTGTATTAAAAATGGTGGAAGATGTTCCCCAATCTGGAATGCTGCTTTCGAGCCAATGGACTTGTCTCTGTTTTGGAAAACGAATGGTCACTTACTGCCTGTTTTCCTTCTGCAGGTGGCTTTCTTTGTTTCTACCCCTTTGCGATCTTTTATCATAAAAGCATCCAGTCATTCCTCTAGACCAGGAGTAGACAAAAATGCAGCTTGTGGGTTACAAAATGCATGTAGCCTAAGAGGATCAAATTTGAGGAAGGTGGTTCAGTTTTCTCTCCTGGCAAATTTTCCTGTTAAAGCCACCATTTCTCCCAACCCCCAAACAGAAGTGGACATACAGCCATTTCTTGTATTGATGTTCCGTGAGGAGATTCAGTCCATGGTGAGTCCTGATGTAGAAAAAGAAAATATCTCTGCAACCTGGAATTTAAACACCACTGCTCTGGACCAGTAACTCCCAAAACTGGGTCCCCATATATCCTTAAGTATCCACTTCCAGATGTCCCAGGCAATGCAGCCTGTAGTCAGAGACTCTGGGAACTGTAGTCCAATAACATCTGAAAACCACAACCACTGTTATAGGTGGTCATAGTTTATTAAATTTCTATCATTCTCTCATCTAGAAACAAAAACAGTGTAAGTCTGTCAAACTATTAATAAATTAACCAGTCTGTGTATGAAATGTATCTTAGTAGCAACGATAACAATAATGGTATAATGCAACTTAAACTAAAGAACCTAACCCAGTTCTTTGAGCAATAACTTTACAATGCCGTAGCATTTTAGAATTCTGAATTATTTGGAGTACATGCTGTAAAAGAGGTAATGTAGTTTATAGACTTTTTAAAAAAAATCTTGTCTTTTGTAATTTGGCTATTAAATGTAGAAAAACCTGTGTAGACTTCATATCTTAAATTTTGTTACAACTATCTTTTTATTCTTAATTGTGATTAAATTTTTGCTTTGAAAATATTGATTTGTCTGATGTCAAGTTTGGTACACAGTGCTTCTGTCATTGAGTTGTCCTCATGTGCTGACATGGACACATTAAATGCCTGTAGTTTGTAGCTCTTTGTCTTGTCAGCATTCTGTGGTTATTAGGTTTGGAAAGTGTTCTTTTTGCCCTATAACTTTTATAAATTACATTGCACCTGATATCTGTTGCCATAATCAATTTGTTTATATTGCTGAGTTGAGTTATTTGAATCTAATACTGGCAACAGTCTTGCTTGCTTGAATTATTTCCTCCCATCTCCAACTCCAGCAGCGTTCACTTTTTCCTTAGAGACTGTGATACACATGCTGACCCTGAGTCCTCATTCTTGATTAGCAAGGCTTTATTGATGCCTAAATGTGTTAAATCTGTCTTCCAGATGGGGAAAGGCTCTTAGATCAATTTCCTGCCATCTAATCTTACTTTGGAACTTTTTTTTCCCTACTCATGCTCAAATCCCAAGCATGGGTTGTTGTTGTTTCCTTCTAGAATACTTGGATCAAATAGCTTTAAGATAACTATATGATATAACTTTTCGGGGTTAAATTCTCACTACCTTTTCTAGAAGAAATATATATGTGAATGTTTTGCATTCAGTAGCACGAGCCAGTACTTTTGAAGCATGTGTTACCTCCTCCACAGTGAAGAAAGATTATAACCTTTGTAACTGTAAAAGTAACTGCAATCATATACTATAAATGGAGTGAAATTATAGTCAATATAATCTAATTATTCTTTTATCGGGTACATCACAACAGTAGACAGTATGGCATTATGTAATCCCAAGAAATTTATTCAATTCTCAGTAGTTGCAGTTATTAGCTTGGCTGATTTTCTGAAAGCTGTTTTAAAAATGTCCTGCATTAAGTCACTAGTGAAAAGGGAATGCCGTTACATAATTTAGTTGTCTGTTTCTCCTACAACATAGCACATTTTCTAATTATACCTACTTTCGGTCATTAAATCACAGCAGATGCCGATGAATCTGGCAGCAATTTTGTTGCATGATGAACAAGTGCAAATCTCTTTATTTTATTTGAGTTGTACAGTGGTCTTTCTTATCAGATTGATCTGATAGCTAATTTGATTCAAGAACTCATATTCCACATTTTAAAGACTGGCATTAGAGATGAGCACAAAGTACTTTGTGCCCTTTCATCATAGGTTGTCTACACAGCAGCACAACTGCACATTCCTTTCTCCCATCTCCTCACTGGCTCCACCACTCACTAGCCAGCATGTGGTGCAGTGTCCCTCACTATCACATAATCTTCCCATCTGGGCAGGAGCCCAGACATCCCTTCTCCATCTCCTCCAGCAGCTGGCCACTCCAAGGCAGTGCTGCAGGAATTCCTGCCTTGCCTCATCTGAGTGGCCAGCTGCTGGAGGAGGTGATCGCATGATGGGGAGGGACAGAGCAGCATGCGCTAGCTGGTAAGTGGATGTGCCAGCGAGGGAGGGTTGGGGAAAGGAACTTCTGTCGAAGGGTCACAAAGTACTTTGGGCTCATATCTAGACAGCACTTAAGACTTAAATGTAATTTGAAGAATATAAAAACTACAGAACATTGTAATTTTCATCATCTTATAGTTCTGTGGCAAGGGAAATGCCGTTCATTCAATATGGATATGTGCTTGATCTGAGCACTGGTCTTCAACCATTCTAAACTGAGGTTGAAAATTTTGCAATATGTTTCACTACCAGCATCAGAATGCTTCTTCAGATGTTTAGTATTTATAATGCCTAATTTGTAAAGGAAGAATTAAAGGTTATACCTCTTCTTCATAAGGTAACAGCTACTTGCCATTTGCCAGTTTCTTAAATATCTGCATTAAGGTTTAATTTAAAATTACTTTTTCTAAATGAAAAATCTTAAGCAAATATAATAGAAATACATTTTTAAATTAAAGCTTATATACTGAAGGTGCCAACTTCCACCATGCATTCATTTTTAGAAATACATTTCTTCTCCTTCAGCAGCTTTGTTCTTAACAGTAGTCTTGGAACGTCTTCGTTTTTGCATGTTGAATATCAGTCTGAAATTGTTGCTCATGTTCCAGAAACAGCTTCAATGGAGATCCATAGCTTCTTCATATAATAGTAAAACACACCCACTGTGGAACAAACAAAGGGGTGTGTGTGGAATGATACATCTGTCTTTAAATAAATTTGGACACCCAACTAAAATTCAACCAAATTGTGATACTATTTCCTAAAAGGAAGTTAACTGTCCAGAGAAAGTACTTTTTGTCAATAAACTGTACTAAAAAACCCCCATCACAAATCAATCCCGCCTCCCCAACTCAGGAAACTAAACTTAATAAAAACTATGGCCATTTCACCACCACCCCCAAACTTTCAGATAAAAGCATTATTAAGGGTCAAAATGAGCACTTACTTGCCTTTGTACACAAGGGACTGAAATAATTAGAACTGTAGATTTCATAAAGACCAGTGTGTCTGTGTTGAGTTCCTTTTTGACTAAGAAATATTAATACTCTAAAATATCAAGTGACACAGGCTATGGTTTGTAATAAGAAGTCTTTAAGTATTATTCTAGAGGAGGGCGACCTCCAACTGTTGGCTTGATTTAAGCTGTGAAGATCTCCTGGTTAAGACTTGAGCCCTTGAGACTACCTTGAAGAGAAAACCCAATATTTCCAGCTGGTTATTAGGTTCCCTTCCTGAATCCTTTTCCTGTGCAGAGAAATGAGATGAGCGAAGCCAGGTGCCCAGCTGAAGCACAAAGTGACAAAGTTCCCCTTGGAGTCTAAAGATCTTCAAGATGGCGCCGGTGGTGGGCGGGTAGTGATTTCACTGCCGCCGCCCCGGTTTGTTTTGTTTTCTTTTCTTTTTTTGAGCTATTTTTTGTTCTTTTAATTTTTATTTCTATCTTTCTTCACCTCTGAGTTTCCTCCCTCTCCTACCTGATCTAAAGCGCTGGGGTGTGTGTTCGGGAAGAGTTTTGAGTCCTGGGCTGCTGCTGTGAGTCGGAGCGGGCGGTGGTGTGAGTGCAGACAGAGCTGGAGCTCGAAACACGGGGGTTGGCTGGTGGCTGTTTGGCGGAGCTCAGAGGTTACTTGCCTGATCTGGAGGGCATCGTTGGGAGAGGATCCAGGGACTGGAGACTGGTAAGATCCTCCCGACGGAGTGGATCCCGACGGAGCGCCTGGAGTAAAGATCGTCTGGAGCAAAGATCGCCAGGAGGGCGCTGGGTCTTCTGCGGCTGTCTGAAGGCTGTCGGAGGGTGCCTATGAGGTCCAGGAGCATTGGGACGCTGGCGCCATGTTGGGTGTCCGGAGGGCAGTATTCTCCCTAAGATCTTCTCTCTCTGTCTGGTCTCTCTGGGTTAATGCCTTCTTACCCGGCTCTCAAGGGTGGAAAATGGTAATGAAAGCGCCTTTCCCAGTTTGTACTTTGGTGTTTCCGATGCCTTTTGTGCATATTATTAAGAACTTTATACCTACCATTGAGAACTGTGTGATCTGCCCCACTAACAAGATCCATACTCAAGCACCATTAATAACAGCAAGCCTAATAACATCAAAAAGGACAAGGTCACGTGGCAGAGGAAGACAACTCAGGACTATATGTGGGGGATAAAAACTGAGATTTTCTAATAAGTTTTTTCTTTTCTCGTTTAGTACATTTATAATTTATCTTATAATTTGGGGTTTTAGTTACTACACTGTATTTGGTTTATGTATTCTCATTCTATGTATTTTATTTTATGTATTTTTACCACATTGCTGCTGGTTTATTTATTTTTATTTTGTTATTTAATCTGTTTATACTAATTTAGTTACTGATTTAATTTCCTCTTTCCCCCTCTTCTTTTTCTTTTCTTTTCCCCCCTCCTCTTTCCCCCCCTTCTTTCTCCTCTTCTTTTCTTTGATATGGAATGGAAGGCCTGCCCTCCCAGCGAGAAGCCTTTGAACATCTCTGTGATTACAGGTAGAGGGAGATATGGGGCTGAGACAGTCCCTACTTATGTTATAAAAATGATGAACAGATGTTTGAAGGCTGTTCATTGTTCTGAGACTGTGATCAACCGTCAATATTGAGGTAGTCAGACCAGCCAGCCCTCCACTCTAAAACTGGTGCTGTTGAACGCCAGGTCTGTGTCCAATGAGCTCCAGATGATTTACGATCTTATCCTGGAGGAGGATGCAGACCTGGCATGCATAACCGAAATGTGGATTGGCGGAGAGGAGGGTCCTCCCTTGGCACTCGCCTGTCTGCCCGGTTATTCTGTCCAGCACCAGGGTAGACTGGAGGGGCGGGGGGAAGTAGCCATTATATATAAAAACACCCTGGAGGGTACTAGGTGCTCCACAGTGGTAAAGCTGGGTCTGGAGGCTCTTCATGTATCGATTGGGGCCAGGGATGGTATTGGGATTTTGCTGGGTTACCGCGCTCCTTGCAATCCAGCAATTTCCCTACCGGAGCTGGTGGACTTTGTCTCCATGGCATTGTTGAGATCCCCGAAGCTGCTGGTTTTGGGCGATTTCAACGTGCACGTGGGGGCAGAGACTTCCGGGCCAGCTCTTGAGTTCTTGGAAACCATAGTTTCCTTGAACATGTCCCAACTTGTCAATGGCCCCACCTATGTGGGAGGTCACATGCTAGACCTGTTTTTTTCCACCAACTGGAGTGAATGTGGTCTGATGGTGACTGACCTTGTGTCAGTCCCCTTGTCATGGTCAGATCACCACCTAATAAAATGTAACCTCATAGTGGCTCTCCCCCCTTGCAGGGAGCAGGGGCCTATTTCTATGGTCCACTCTCGAAGGCTACTGGATCCTGTTGGATTCCAGGATGCCATGAGAGGTGTTACGGCTGACCTGGCTGGCGCTCCTGTTGAGGCTCTGGATGGCTGGTTCACTGCTGCCACCAGGGCTGTAGACATGATCAGATAGGCGTTTGGACCAGATAGGCGGGGTATAAATCAAATAAATAAATAAATAAATAAATCACGCCTAAACGCCCTCTCCAATGCAGAGCTCGACCTGTGCCCGGGTTTAACCAGGACCTATGAGCGATGAAGCAGCTTAGGAGAAGGCTAGAGCGCAAGTGGAGGAAGAACCCGATGGATTATAATTGGATAGCTGTCAGGGTCGCAATTAACCTCTACCTGGCTAAGGTAAAGGCTGCCACTCGTGCATACTTCACTGACTTGATAAGCGAAGTGTCCAGTCAGCAGGCAGAGTTATTCCGTATAGAGCGTGACCTATTCAGAATTGGTCTGAGTGATGGGCCTCCCCCTAGTTTTTCACCGGACCAATTTGCAGCATTTTAAAAATCTAAAGTGGAGGCCATCCGCCAGGAGCTCTCTCCTTTTTTAAATGCAGTGAGTTGAGCAGAGATGTCCAGCACTCTGTCTTGCCCGGTGATCCTTGATCGCTTTCAGCCCAGACACCGGATGCTGTGGACAAAGCGCTTGATCGCTGCCGTGCCACCACCTCCTCCCTTGACCCTTACCCAGCCTGGCTGATCAAAGAAGCAAGGCCTACAACATCAGAATGGGCCACAGCAATAATTAATGGGTCTTTCCTTGACGGCAAGGTTCCTCCTGCTCCCAAGGAAACACTCATTAGGCCCATCAGAAAGAAACCTAGTTTGGCGGCGGACGAAATCAGCAATTATACTCCCATCGCCAATGTTTCTTTCATCAGCAAAGTGGTGGTGAGTGTGGTGGTGGACCAGCTTCAGACCCTTTGGATGAAACATACCCTGGATCCATTTCAGGCGGGCTTCAGGCCGCGCTATGGTACAGAAACGGCATTGGTCACCCTGTATAATGACCTATTGAGGGAGGCTGATGGGTAAAATATCTCTGTTGGTCCTCCTCGACATCTCGGCAGCCTTTGATACTGTCGACCACGATATCCTCCTGGGGAAGCTCTCTGAGCTGGGAATCGGTGACCTGGCGCTTACCTGGCTCCGTTCCTTCTTGGAGGACCGTCCCCAGAGAGTACAGCTTGGGGAGAGTGTATCGGCCCTGTGGAGTCTCAATTGTAGGGTTCCACAGGGGTCGATTATATCTCCAATGCTGTTTAATATCTATATGAGGCCGCTGGGTGGGGTCATCAGTACGCTGATGACACCCAGCTCTACATCTCCTTTCATCAACTGCAGGAGATGCCGTTCTGTCCCTTCAGCGCTGCCTGGGGGCCATACTGAAATGGATGCAGGAAAATGGGCTGAGGCTGAACCCAGACAAGCCGGAGGTGCTGAGGGTGGGTGCCCCCACCATTAGCAGTTTGGGTGACTCTGTCTCATTTTGGGGGGGTCGCCCTTGCCGCAAAGAGTGGGGTCCGCAGCTTGGGGATCCATCTGGACCCGGCGCTCACCATGGAGACTCAGGTGGCGCCGGTGGTCCATATTGCCTTTTTCCATCTGTGGCAGATAGCCTGGCTGCGATCCTATCTCGATGTGGGGGCGCTCACTACCTTGGTACATGTGTTTGTAATCTCAAGATTAGACCACTGTAATGCGCTTTATGTGGGACTACCTTTGAAGTTGATGCGGAAACTCCAGGTGGTGCAGAATGCGGCGGCCAGACTCCTTAGTGGAGTGAGAAAATACCACCACATCTCTCCTATTCTGGCCACACTGCATTGGCTGCCCATTCTGTTCCGCATTGACTTCAAAGTCTTGATGCTTACGTATAAAGCCCTAAATGGTTTAGGGCCTCGATACTTGGTGGAACGTCTACTCCCACCAAGCTCTACCCGTGTCACTCGTGTGAGCCAGGAGGTGAGGCTGAGAAGCCTGACGCCAAGGGAGGCCCGAAAGGAAAAAAAACAAGAAACCAGGCCTTCTCGGTAGTGGCTCCTCGCCTCTGGAACAATCTCCCTCTGGAGATTCGCGCAGCCCCCTCGCTGGGTATTTTAAAAAACCAACTAAAACCTTGGATGTTCAGGCAGGCCTTCCCCTCCAGTTAATATCTGATTCTCTCCTTTTTTTTCTTTTGTGGCTAATCTCTCATTTTTTCTTCCCTATCTTGAAGTATTGACTATTTAATGTAATAACTCTTTTTTATTATTATAGTATTACGAGTCTGTAAGCCGCCTAGAGTGGTCGCAACTACCAGATAGGCGGGATAGATAGATAGATAGATAGATAGATAGATAGATAGATAGATAGATAGATAGATAGATAGATAGATAGATAGATAGATAGATAGATAGATAGATAGATAGATAGATAGATACTTTAGTCAAAGACTGAGATGATCACAGGGAGAATTGCTGCCATTCCTGGCATCAAAAGCTGCAACAAGATAGACTAGCCACTCCCTGAATAATACCCCCACCCCACTCACAGTACATAGGAAAGGAATGGTTCTTGGGAATGGCTAGCCTCCCATAGTCAATTGATAGTGATATGTAAATAGAAAAAAATTTCCTAGAACACAGCTTAATATGTGCAGAACCAAAATAGATGCATGTATTTTTAGAGTGTCTTACATGGGTCAATAAATAACAAATGCATGAAACTTGCTGCACTCTTGGAAAAAGAAATAGAGAGGCAACTCCCTTTCTTAGATGTCATGGTCATATGCAAAACTAACCTCCTATTGGGACACAAGGTCTACTGACAACCCACATACACAAAAACCCTAACCACTACACATAGGAAAAAAGAGTTGTAATCAAAACACTGGTAGACCGTGCAAATTGGAACTGTGAAGCTCAATTTCTCAGCACCAAACTCAACCATCTGAATTGGGCCCTACAGGCAAATGGATACTCCAAGAATGAAATCACAAGAGCCATCAAACCAAGAAAACAACACCAAACTGAAGAGGAAAAACAACCACCCACAAATAAAGTATTTCTGCCATACATCAAAGGAGTCACGGACTGCATGGGGAAACGTTTGAAAAAACACAACCTACAAACAGTATTCAGGCCCACTACAAAAATACAACAAATGTATGGTCAACAAAGGACAAAAGAAATCCCCTCACCTCTGGAGAAGTATACCAGATACCTTGCAGTTGTGCCCAGGTATATACTGGAGCCACAAAACACAGCATCCATACCAGGATCAAAGAACATGAGAGACACTGCAGACTAAAACAACTGGGAAAATCAGCAGTAGCTGAACATGCCCTAAAACAAGCTGGACATGAAATTCTATTTCAAAACACCGAAGTACTGGACAATACCAGCAATCATTATGTTAGACTGCACAGGGACGCCACTGAAATCCACAAACAACAGCAGAGCTTCAACAAAAAAGAAGAAAGTTTAAAACTCAACAAAGCCAGCACTGAAAAATATAGCTTGCAAAAGGTCAACGGACTCTCCCAGCCACAAGGACTGGTGACCATTGCACACAAAAGACCAGCTAACAACACCCATCAATCACAGTGACAGATAATCTCTCCCCCTTATCAGAACAATACACACACACACACACACAAACGAAACACTGATCATCATAATCACCCAATCTCCTGAAAAGGACAAAAGTGGATCCCACAGCTATAAATACTGAACTATCCAACAAACTGCACCAGAGCACAGACAGAATTCTGACTCCTGTCCTCTGAAGATGCCGACCACAGAGACTGGTGAAATGTTAGAAAGAAAAACCTCAAGAACAGGGCCAAACAGTCCAAAAACCCACGTTCATTTAGTCGTGTCCGACTCTTCGTGACCCCATGGACCAGAGCACGCCCGGCCCTCCTATCTTCCACTGCCTCCCGGAGTTGTGTCAAATTCATGTTGGTTACTTCGCAGACACTGTCCAGCCATCTCATCCTCGGTCGTCCCCTTCTCCTCTTGCCGTCACACTTTCCTAACATCAAGGTTTTTTCCAAGGAGTCTTTTCTTCTCATGAGATGGCCAAAGTACTGGAGCCTCAGCTTCAGGGTCTGTCCTTCCAGTGAGCACCCACAGCAGCCATCAGAACCCAGCTGTGCTCCCGTGGCATGTGTATGTTTGTATGTTATGGAGAACTCTGGAAAACTTTTTTCCTACTGCCGACAACACTTTAAACAGCCCATTAGCTTTACAATGAACCATAAAAGGTTTGCTGGAGATCAGCAGAAAGTGGGATCAAAGGAAGAGGGGCCGTGGCTTAGATCAAACTGCATCAGACTGGGGTACAACATAGACATTGGCACCTGAAACAATCCATAGTCTCTTTGTGATCCCCGAATCTGAACAGAAATATAAAATAGGCTGTGAATCATGCTGCAGCAAAGCTGAATTGCACTGATTGAGCTTGCCAGTGTAGCAGCAGCCTTACATGCATTAAGGGGGATATGGTAGCCCCATCTCCTTTATTGTAAGGTGGAACATGGAACTATGTGTGAAGAGGGAGAAGCTTCTGGATCTGGGTGGCCTCTTTATGAATGCCAGCATACTGATTCTATGAGGATTTTGCTCACAGGAAGAGGCTACCCAAGTTCAGGAGTGCTCCCCCTTCTTAGACACAGCTGCATTTCCACATTCAGTGTGAGGATGGATGGGACAGGGCTAGTACACTGCTTTCGATGCCTGTGGGCTCCACACACCTCCTTAATGACTGAAAGGGACAGATACATCAGTCAGGAAGAAACAAGCGCGAAGCAAAAATTCATGAATTTAACTTGAGAGGAGACTGAAGTACTCCATTATTTTAATAAACCTCTGAGAAAAGACAATTTATATGTTAATTCTCACTTCAAGCCTGCAAGTGTAATCTTGTATAGGCACACTGCATGGAAAAATGATATTCAAAAGGAGAGTGGGTGGGTGTTCTGATCCCAAGGCTCAGTGGTGACTGTTCATACTCCCTGAAGTGCTGGAGATATAAACTAGCCTGTGATTGCAGGAAAACAGACCTCCCAATGTTGTGCAAAATCAGCTGCGCTGTGTGTTTTGAGCCATAAGCCCCCAAATTTTCTGTTTCTGATAAGTTTACCACCTCAGCTAGAAACCACACATGCCTCTGTAGGAGGGTGACAGAAGCTATTTTAAAAATGGATATTAGGGTTTGGGATACTAGATAGGCAACTAGAATACCAATTCAGAATGTGTTACAAAAAGGATTGTTCATCTAAAGTGATTTTAGCTTCTGCCAAAACCATGTTTTAGATATTGACAATCTTGTTAACTTACAGTGGCAAGATTCATCTGTACCGATCCGTTTTTCTCAGTATCCAGTTTCTTAAATATCTCTGTATGGAGGGAAAAGTGAACAGAAGAGGAATGGAGAATTCCAGAATGGTACAAAGCAGTAACAAAATTTCAGCGTAAGAAATTGGGCAGAAAACTGCAGATTCATTCTAAACAAATTTAAATAGCTGTTAAGTCCTGGAATATGTGAAGAGGGACTATTTATTACTCTTTCCTCCTTTAAAATAGCCTCCCCCCCTCCCAAAAAAAACACCATACAGCAATTAGAGGCTTAGGAGACAAAGCTACAGTTCATTTAAATAGATGCCTTTTCTCTAATCCTAATTTACTAGTGTGGCGGAAAAATATAGTTTTCAAGTTGGCATCCCCCACACCTGTTTTAAAATACTCAATTATCAATGGATCAGATTTTATACCCAGCCCATACTCCTACTTAAAAGAAAGATTATTATAAAAGTAATATGCAGATTTATTTTCAGTGAAAAACTGAAGATCCTAGTTTCCTGTCTCTTCCTCTTCAATGTTTCATCCTTAACTATACACAATAGCTCAGCTAAGGCAATCCATTCATCTAAACTCCAGAAAGGCAGAGCTGGTTCTTGCCTCTCGATGGATGCGTTTGCCCTTGCTGTTTATGCCACAATATCTGAATGGGAATGTGAACATCATTCTAGATATAAAGTTGATTCAGCCACGTAGGAGGAAGGATCCAAAGGCCAGTATACTATTGCCTATACTTGGAGCAGAAGGGCAATTATGTAAATGTTACCACTGATCTGGCCTGTTTCCTGTTGTGCAAATCATTTCTCACATCCAGTATGCGCTGAGGAAACTTCCAGAACATAGTGGATGATTATGCAATTGCCTTTTCATTATGTGTTCAGGCAACAGGATAATGGTCATAGTATCTTTCTAGACAGGGGACGTGGTGGCGCTGCGGGTTAAACTGCAGAAGCCTCTGTGCTGCAAGATCAGAAGACCAACAGTCGTTAAGATTGAATCCACGCAATCTTGAATCCACATTACCTTCCCACCATGGTGGCACCTATTTATCTACTCGCATTTACATGCTTTTGAACTGCTAGGTTGGCAGGAACTGGGACAAGGGACGGGAGCTCACTCCGAGCTCCCGTCCCTTGTCCCAGTTCCTGCCAACCTAGCAGTTCAAAAGCATGTAAATGCGAGTAGATAAATAGG